TTTAATATTTATAGTAAGGATTTTTTTTATATTAGGTTTTGTATATTTTAAAATTAATTTTCCCTTTAAGTAATTTTAACTATAAGTAATTTTAACTATAAGTAATTTAAAAAAAGGTAGTACTATTAGAACAACTTTTTTATCTCACATTTTTATATAATCTTCATGTGTCATCATTTAATAGATGCATTTAATATCATGGGTCTCACATGAATTAAAAAAATCAATCATTTTAATGAGTTATACAAAAAGATAAGATAAAAAATTATATAAATATCATTTTCTTTTTAAAAATATAGGCTTTATATCCACTTGATATTATTAAAAAATTAATTTTTGAAATATTAAATATAATTTATAAAACAATACTAACCTTTTTTTTTTACAAAAATAATGATTAAGAATTAAGAGTTAGAAGTTAAAAGTTAAGAATTAATACCTTATTTTTTAATAAAGTTCAACTACTAATCGGGATGCATTTCACTGATAATCATTTTAAGCTGCAGTGACATCACTTTACCACAAAAGAAGAATGCATGAATACTAATATGAAAATCCAAATTCTTTGAACCAATAAACTCAAAAATAAAATTTGTACGGTGGTGCATAGGACATGGGACATAAAGGATTCCAAAAACCAAAAACGGCAATGAAAAGCCATTAAAACGCATGAGCCCACCTCCCTTTACCCAACCACCATTCTCGTTGGCGTGAGCATAAAATATCTGCCCACTAGGCAGTGTCCAGTGGGCGACAACCAGATCTCAAAATCCCCATCTCACGTACCATGCCAACAACACCCGCAACCAAGATCCCTGCTTTTACCACCCGCATTATCTGGACGCCAGACCCCACCCTCTGTGCCAGGTCCACCACGTTCCACTTAATCAAAACCCCTACAGGGGATTGTTATGTTATGACCACTACAAAAATTATTAACGTCATTCATATTTATTTTTTTTTTGTAAAATATATATTTTTAAAAAATTTTTAAAATTATTTTATTTAAAATTTATTTTTAATTAATATTTTAAAAAGTAATTATTAAATTATAAATTTTATTCATTTAAATTATATATTAATTTTTATTAACATAATTTTATTTATTGAAATATATTAATAATATTAATTTTTTATAATTAATAAATTAGTTAGATTTATCAAATTAACATAAAAATTAACATATATGATATATATAAATATTATTTTTCAATTGAATTATTAATTTTCAATTAAAATTTTAAAAATATAAATCAAAGATAAATTTGTAGATGTACCTTTTATAATAAATTTAAAATGATAACTTTGAAAATAAATTTTCCTTATCTTTTTATCCGTATCTTTTTAACTTTATCTTTATTCTTTTATTTTTTTCTAAATAGATAATAAAATAATCTTATAAAATAAAAAAA